CCAGAGCGGGTCGGGTTCGGGTCAACCCGACCCGACCCGTTTAGGGTTTAGGGTCACGCGAAGAGTCTCGGACGGCTGACGAATGAGTCGCAGACGCCAGTCACGCGAACGCCGGTCACGCAGACGCCGGTCTCGGTCAACGCTAGTCACGCGGACGACGGACGGCTGTTTTCACGCGAACGCCGGTCACGCGGACTCGAACGGTCACTCGAACACGCCGGTCACGCAGACAGCGGACGCCAGTTTGCGAACGCAATGGCGCGATGCGACTTCGGGGCAGGCAGGCAGGGCCGGTCAGGTGGATTTTCAGGTCATTCCCGGGTTCCCGGGTCTACCCGAACCCAAGTCGGTTTTACAAACGGACCGGTTTTCTAGACCCGAACCCGACCCGCTTCAGGTTCAGGTCAACCCAAACCCGAAATTTTTAGGTCGGGTTTTCTGGTCGGGCCCAATATTGACTGGTCTACTCCTCCAGCTTCGAATTCTCCAATAAGAATCTCCACTATAAATATGTTGTTTTATTAACTACTGCCCTAAATCGACTACTAGTTTTTTTTTTTAATCTTATTTTTAAACTTTACATTTATCTTTCTATGAGGCTTCACTACAACACTTGATATTTCTACTATTAAAGCAAACATCTCTTTTCAAAGGCAAAAATGTTATCATATATTTTGAGGTAGATGTATAAAAAGCTCTCTCTTTTTAAGTATATATATGTCTGTTAAGAAATATATGCACAATCTTTTCTTTTCTTTTTTTCAAAATAATATTTTATCAAATAAAATATGTGATTTTAGTATGAAAGGGCTTAACTTAAAACCAAATACTAATAAAGAAAATAAAGCACAATTGGCACAAGGTATGCCCATCCTTAATGCACTAAAACTCCTCGAATAAATCCACATTACGGGTGCAAACGAGTTGAGTCGAATCGAGTTTAGGCCCTTATCGAGCCAAGCTCGTTAGTTGGAAAGCAAGCTCGAACTTGAGCTCAAGCTCGACAGGCGAGAGCTCGAACTCAAGCTCGTCTCACTGTAAATGAGCTCGAGCCGGCACGCAAGTCATGGACGGGAATTTTTAAATTTAGGCAGAATTTTTAAAAATTAGGCTGAATTTTTAAAATTTAAGCAGGAATTTTCAAACTTGCTCAAAATTTTAAAAAAAAATTATGAAATTTTTAACATTTAAATAAAACTTGGGTGATTTTTATTAAATTTTTTTAATATTTAAGTATAGTAAATAAAATAAAATTATTTTAAAAAATATTAATCTTTATCGAGCCGGCTCGCGAGCTCACGAACTTGAGCTCGTTTACTAAACGAGCTCGAGCTCAACTCGTGAGCTCGATAAGCTCGGCTCACGAGCCCATAAATGAGTCGAGCTCAAGCCGGCTCGCGAGCTGATTCGGCTCACTTTCACCCCTAATCCACATCCATTCACACAAGTTATTTAACTAAATATCCTAAGGAACACTACTAATTATCCTCATTTACTAAAGGGAAAAAAATTATTAATGGAATGCTAGGTCAATATAAAATCATAACTAGCCATATATTCTTTTTAGTTTTACACTTCTTCTTAAAATTTACAAAATCATCATCATATAAAGAGACAATCAATATATGTTGATTGGTAAGTAATTAAGAAATAAAGACAAAGAAAATTAAAGAGGATCATCTTAGCTATATTTTTTATGCTAATTATAAAGATAAGTAATGAGGAAGCTTCCCATATAATGGAATTACAAGGATGATCCAAAAGAGTTGGCACCTATAACTTTCTTATATTCATAACTTGATCTAATAAAAATCCATTACAAAAGACCTCAGTAATAGTCTTATTAGTATAATCATCATCACCTTAACCATAGAAATATAAGGGCCCTCTCTTCCTAAATCATTATTTCTAATAATAGCACTACTTGGAAGGATAATCAAGCATAGGATCAACAAGAATTTTTGAAAGAAGTGTCAAGGGCTTCCACCATAATAATTAAATCCACTATAAGAAAAGATGAAGCAATCTCTATCTGACTTTCTTGAGTATGTATTACCATAAATATAATAGAAAATTATTCTATTATATTTATGTCCAACATTTTAAAAATAGAGAAATTTTTATGCAGCTGAGCAATTGGTCAACTGATTTTGATCTCTTCTCGGAATGTCCATTTGGCCCTCTTGGGATTGTCTTTCCTCACCTTAGAGCTCATCTATTTGATAAAAGTATTTTGTTCACATTAGCTTCACTACTTTGTAATCCTCTATAGACAGATATTCTTGTTGCAAAGCTTAGTAGACTTTCTAGTACAAAAGTTTTGGTGGAGTTAGATGTGACTCAACAAATCCCTAACTCAATATGAAATGAATCAAATGATTGTGGCTATTATCAATGAATGGTTGATTGAAAATATTACTAAATTTTGTAAGCATTGTTGCGTATTTGGGCATGAGAATTCATTTAGCAAATATGATAAAAGTCACCTGAAAAATTAATGTGTTTGATTCAACAAAACTAGGGGTGTCAATTTCGGGTCACGTGTCGGGTTCGGGTCGAACCCGAAACTGACCCAGCACTATTCAGGTCAACCCAAACCCGACCCGTTTTTACAAACATGTCGGTTTTCTAGACCCAAACCCAACCAGCTTCGGGTCTAGGTTAACCCGATACGACCCGAATGATCCGGTGCTAACAAAAAACTAACAGCTTTTAGGTCCAAAAACATGTCAATCTCTGCTTTTAGGGTAAAAAATGGATCAATCTCGGGTTGCAGGGTCAAAAAATGGGTTTTCGGATAAAAAATGGATCAAAGGGTCAACCTGAACCCAACCCAATTTTGGAACGAGTCGAATTATTGAACCTGAACCCGACCCGTTCGCGTTGACCCTAACCCGAAATTTTTGTGCCGGGTTCGAGTCGGGTTATTGAGTCGTGTCAAACATTGACACTCCTAAACAAAACTATCAATTACAAAAATATGAGCTTCTCCCTCAACGGTTCCTATTAATATGGCGACTTTTAGGTTATGAACTTCGCACTCAACTTGATACAGTGGCCTGGAGCTTACTGTGAGCAAACAAATGCTGGTTGTTGCCTTCCGATGACCCGCGAGCTTGCTGGGGACTTCCATATTAAGAATCTCATAACCTATAACTCTAATGGAGATTCCATCACAAGGTGCCAGAATTACTACACCAAATTTATACATGAATTCATAAAAGATTACATCACATCTATCTTTTATGTTAGCCAGAATATTTCCATTTGCCACTTGAAAAGAAGCTTAGGAACTTATTTTGTGGTTGTGAAGTGGATATTATGCCAACACATACAAACCAGAATTTTATTTATGCTTGCTTTGTTAAGAACTTTTAGTATGTGGCTGAAATTACTATACCAACTTTATGCATGAATTCATTGCTATTAGAAATGATGGTGAGTGAGTATGTTATTTATAATGTCGCATAAAATGTACATGATTGCAATGCGAAAAATAAACTATACAAGGCGGCGGATTTGAACTCCAAAAGTTCACTCAATTTGCAACTATAAGATCAGAGGAGTTCAAACTGTACAGCTCCTCTTTGTTTTTGATAAAACCACTATCAAAATTCATCATTATACTTATCGGTTAAAATCATCCTAAATTAGGACCAAATCGCAATTAGGATTCCATTTTCTCAGCTTTCTAAGGGGTTTAAACAAAAATTAACATATAGGATTTGCAGAGATTTAAACCACCAAAATGAATTGATATAAGATATCTTTTTCAGGTGATTGTCAACTCGATGCCTTAAACTGTTTGCAACAGTTCATTCGAAGAAAAAAAAATTGCTCAAGCATCCTAAACATAATTTTTGGTCATGATAGCTAGACCCGATAATCGCTAGATATACATCGGAATAAGTGTAATATAAATTTTTATGTATATCTAAAATATTTTAATATGCAGCTCATCTTGGTCTGCTCGTTGGAAGGTTTGACTATCAAACAAGAGGTCTTGGATTCGCGTCTTATATATGTGTGAGTGAGTTTTCCTTATTTGGCCTATATATCCCAAAAAATATATATTCTAACATAATCTATTTTTATTTATTTTAACTATTACTTATGCAATAGTTTTAAAGTCTCTACAAAAAGTTTCAACACTAAAATACAATTTTCCTTTGAAATGTTAGTTATAGCATAACAACTTCACCGCACTAAGAGATTCTTCATGCTCTTGCAGTGCTTCATCATATTTGAATTGTGATGTAAGACACGTAATCCATAGGCCCTGAGAATTGGTGTTATCCTATATATATCATGAGGCTTTCCATTGGCTTACATATTAGGAGTAATGGAAGCATCATAATGAGCTTAGTTATGCTTGCCATGTCTTCTTAGTGGGTTTCACTTTCATGGAGCTTCTTTGCTTTTGTTGATAAGTTTTGAGGATATTTCTGTTCGAATCCATCATTGTTTTAAAACGTAATGCTAAGTGCGCTTTTGGTTGGTTAGGTTGGCTTTAAAAGCATGAAGTGGAAAAGTATTAATAGCTTAATAAAGGGGAAATCACTTTATATGTGCTATAGTATCTTTGTTAGTTGAGTGTGTGAAGAAATTTGTGGGCACAAGGAACACTAAATTATATGCATATCTAAGTTTTCTGAATCATCAAGTTTTGGATAATGGAGCTTGTTTCCCTTTTAATTAATTGAAAAATGCCAATGTGGACTCCAACTTAACTGTAAATTATCAAAAGATTATTTAAAAACATCACGAAGAATTTCATGTTTTCATTGAACGTCTTCCACTGCAAGGAGTAACCGGATCTAAGAGAGATTGAACTGCCATAATTTTTTTTAAAAAAACAACAAATTTTATTCCATAAGAAAAGAGACATACAACCAAAAGGCCAAAAGGCCAAAAAGCCAAAGAAATAAAAATACAAAGCTGAAAATACCACATTAATCGACAAAATGCAAAGTAAATTGGAAAGGATAAATAATCCAAGGTGTCGGACTCAAAATCGCCACCCGGTTGCCAAGCTTGGACCATCCATTGGGGGAAGAATAAACATCAACGAGATGACCCAAATACGATTACCACCCATGAACACACAGAAGAAGGAACCACTTAGGTTGTCAAAACAAATCATGGCCTTCCAAGGGGGCAAGCAGGAAGCCTGTCTCATCATAGTCCGAAAACAAAAGCCAACACCCCACGGTCCTGCCATCAATCCACAAGGCACCCAACAAAACCAATCGCCCAACCTTGGGTCTGAAAGGACCACCATCCACAACACTCCAAAAATAAGCCAAAACCAACCAAGCAAACACCAACAGTAAAAGTAGGGCCAAATCTAAAAAGAGAAATCATTTCTTTTTCGATTTACGAACTCTATGTTTACTACTCCTTTTTATTGAACTTCCATAACATACAACAAGTGATTTGGTGTTTGTAGGGTTTGATTGTGGTGGTCGTAGTGAATGGGACTCGAAAGGTGCTACAAAGCCCATCCCATATGAAGATTCTGCAGATGTAGGTTGCATGGGTGATGCTAGTGTTCTACTTCGAAAAGTATTAACTAATGATTTTGTTTGTAATGGTTGTCCATTTGTTATAGTGAATATGCCCATTCCCTTTCTTCCCCGCCTCAGGTGAGCTACACAATTACTTAGACAAGCAAGCATGCTCATAAATTTTACAAGGAAAAAAAACCCTTAAACCTCAACTAAAACCAAATCTTGAAACTATCGAAACTTCCAAAAACTGAAAGTTTTTGGATAAGAGTAGTGAAGTTGAAACCACAGTTCAAACTGAGTTCTAAAACCTTGCTTTTAGCCCCATCAGACTGAGCCTAAGACCTGCAAGTAATCTTCACTCAATCAGATTTAATTTTTGTGTTTTAACGTAGCATTTATCTCATATCTATGAATACAACCTTCAGGCTTATAGACTTCTTCATATAATGCACAATATGTCATAAAAATTGCAAAAGTTCTCAAAATTTACCACAAAATTACAGACCTAAATGATATTTAATAATCTAATGGCAACCATTACAATTTTTTATATATATTATTTTTTGGCTTTAAAATTTCTTTTGATTGACTCCGTTGTATTATCTAGGATCAAACAGAGTGCATCCACCAAGGTCATTTTGGGATTTGCAAGTGTGGACTATCGCACAAATTTGATCATCCTGTGGATGACATGAAGCACTGTCCGCACGTCTCAATTATTTTTCAGAAATGCTAAGCAAAAGGAGAGAGAAGAAATAAAGAGAGAATAAATCTTGAGTGAGAATTCAAAATTTTCTATAAAAAAGACTTGAGGACAAGAAATTAAGTAAACTGAGTTCACTCCTTAACCCCCTCTTCATAATTTTGTGTTAGAATTTGAGAGCTATAGAATTGACCACATTGATGATTATATAAAAAAAAGAATATATATATATATAAACTGTGTAGCTTAAATAGAATCTTCAACTTGATGAGGTCGTCCGGCATGCTATTAAGAATTCAGTGGCTCGGCATGTCTTTTTGAACGAATAGCCACCCCCTTGAGTAGTCCCTAGGGCCAATTTAAAAAATCATATAAGTTCTTATATCAGAGTTGTTTGTTTGAGACGAGCTCATTTGTAGACTTGCGAGTTCTTTTTGAGCTAAGACTGAATAGCTCAAGTTATATTAGCTTGAACCAGACCAATTTGGCTTGAACCCAATTTTCCAAATATTTGGTTGTATATTTAATTCTTTGATTGTTTTATATCTTTATAAGTTCACTTAGAAGAGAGAGAGAGAGAGAGAGAGAGAGAGAGAGAGAGAGAGCATAAAAACATTCTTCATTACTTATTCATAAAACCCTCATAAATGTTTATTTTAATCTTGGATATTTGTTAATCAATTTGAGTTTGATTTTTGATATTATCCTTTTGTCCATGTTAGCAAATACTTTAGCTTACAAATAGGAGATCAATTCTCTTCATTCAAATGCTTCTCCTTCATCAACTTATTTCTCTTTAAGCTCTGCAAGTTTTCTTTCCTGTAAAGAATGTAAATTTGGAATGATAATATTAACCTCTCAAAAGATGATATAATAGCGAGTTTGCTAGGAAAAGATAAAAAAGAAGGAAGTTCTTCTGAGGAGTAAAGATATAAAAGAAGAAGTTGAAGGGCGAGATCCAAGAACACACAGTTCATCGAAATCATTCGCTAACCAACATTCTTTTTCACCTGTTGAGTTGTTGAAGAATTTGCTCCACAAAAATTCAATTATAGTTTCCTTTCTTAAAAGGATGAATACCAAAAAAACTAGGAGATATTCGAGCAATATGTTTGTCATTATCAAACGGGATACAATATATTCTTATAAATTTCAAGTTTGTCTTTTTTTTTTCAATATATATATATTAAGGTTAAGTCGTTGACTTAATGGGTCTCACCTTACATCAGAGCTTAGTCTTCGCAAGGATTATCATTCAAACTCATCTGCTAGAATGTACTCACACGCTATTAAATATAGATCTTGACACAAATGGAGAAGTTGAGTTCTAGAGCTTTAACCTATGTTCCAAGGGATAGATAATAAAAATAAACTATGATGCTTGAATAATGCCAAGATCTAAGATGAATTCAATAGTGTGTTGAATTCAATGATGTGATGAATACAATAATGTGACAAATACACTCATACAACAAGTTCAATGATATGTTGAGTTTGACAATAAGCTTCTAAAAAAAATTTTAAATATGTAATTAAATATTCAAGAATTTTTTTTTAAGGAAAAAATTTCCAAGATATTTTATCTTCTAATGTGCAAGAATTTAATTGCATAAAACATCAGAAGTTCTTCTTCCTTAATAATGAATAATATTATTTTGGATGGATAAATACGCTAAATACTAACTGTCCATCCTCCTAGGAGATTTTTGCTCTCCTATAAAGAATAGTCTAGCAACATTTAAGTTTAACACCAAGGTAAGGTCACTCTGACCTTATACTCAAGTTATTCTATATTTCCTTGTTAATTTAAGTACTTCTTTAGAATTTTTTGTTAATGCTGGTCTAAGTCATTCATTGAAGTTGATCGACTTCAATTGTTGAGTTAGATAAAAAAACTATTTTTATGCAATGATTTTATAAAATTGACTAGTTCTCTAAGTCTCTCATTGAAAGTTTTGTAGCCTTTAGAAATAGATTTAGTTTCTGGGGTTTCTGGGGCTGGAGGTCTCAGATTGATCTCAAATTTGGAAGGTTAACCCTAAGGAAATATCTAATCAATATGCAATTGATAGATCATGAATCGGATGTCATTAGACTGAGTTTCGAAATAATTGAAAAATCACTCAAAAAAGGTTTCAGGACATAGGCCTTTAACCTTAGATTTTGGTCTGGAATTCTGGATTTTAGATTTGATTGATTGAATTTAAATTATCCAAATCAATCACAATCAATGAAGTGGTTGTTAATGATTGGATATGATTGAAGCTAGATTGGAGGTTGGATCAAAGCCTAGATCTGCTGAAGTCTGGATTAATTGAAGTTTGAATGATTAAATCCTGGATTGATTTGAGGTCTGGATTGATTTGAGGTCTGGATTGATTTGAAGTCCGGATAGGTTTGAAGTTTGGATTGATTTGAATCTGGATTGTTTTGAAGCTTGGATAGGTTTGAAGTTGATTGATTAAATCCTGGATTGATTTGAGGTCTAGATTGATATTGATCTGAAGTCTGTATTGATTGAAACTTGGAATCTGGTTTGATTTAAGATCTGAGTTGATTTGAAGTCTGAGTTTGATTTGAAGTATGGATAATATCCTAAATTGAATTCTAGATGATTGACACCTGGAGAAATGACAACCATCAGATCAATAGGTAGGAGTCTAGATGGATCCTAGTGACTTCATAAAAAATGAGGTCAACATCTGAATAACCTCGATGAGCTCGGCGATTGAGACTCACAATGAAGTCATAGACGGCAATAGGCAAATCGAGGGTGACAGTGACCACTTGCAGTGGTGATCATCTCGTCGCTCTCTTCGTTCTGTATTTTCCCTTGAGTGAATGAGTTCTTAGATCACGGTCACCTATTTGAGGCAAGTTCATTTGTAGAAGTGCAAGTTCCTTTTGAGGTGAAACTCCGTATTCCGCATTATATTAGCTTGAACTAGGCTAACTTGGCTTGAACTTTGTTTCCGGATATTTGATCCTACACTTCGCATACAAACACTTTATACTGGATAACTGTAATGAATTTATCTTGCGAGTTGTATCGTAATAGAATAAGTGTCTTCTCAGTCAAGTTTATGAGATTGCACATCTTTCCATTGGTTCTGTTCTGGAGTGAATAGAGATTCTAAATTTTATAACTTAAATCAATGTTTATGTATTTCCTAAATTTCAAATTCAATATCGAAGTTTAACATCAATTTTTATGCCATGCCATCTAGAATTAAATTATTTCAAAGAGAGAACACCCAATAAGGTAAGTTTCATGGGAAACACCGAATCCTGTTCTCCACTTAATTTCAGATAATGACCTATAGACCAGTAAGACTATAGTTATAAAAGGTCATGGCAAACAAGAATATACCAAAAATAGAGTGGCTCCCCTAAGCATATAAAATTAAAAAAAAAAACTGATACAGAACCCAATGCTTGCAGAAAAACGCATGCAACTCTCCTTCGGAGGTCTACTGGAATATTTTTCCTGCAATTGTGTCCATTTCTGTAATAATTAATAGTTTTCCAATTTGAAAAAGCAATGAAAATCAGCAAAGACATTCTTATTAACAATGGTTAACACAATTTGTATCAACAAAGACATACTTATTCTAATCAAATCAGTTCGTAAATAACTCTAATGTATTTTTTTTCTAACCATTTAGATCGTTACCAAAAAATAATTATCCAAACTACTTCTTAGTCATTGTTGATACTAATGAATAATTAATTAGGTATTTACTTTTCCATTTTTTCCTCTCTATGAACTATATTTCTCCTATAAATATTATATCTATTTTATTCATTAGAACAAAAAAAAGATATTCATCTCTCATATTTTTCAACAAGTATATTAGAACAAAATAACTCTACTTGTTTCGGTAATAAATATGGAACATCATATTAGAGTTGCGTTCGATGTACATGAAGTGGCACATAAATACATAGTTCCATTTGAGTCTGCATTTATATTTATAGGTGCATTATGTTGTAGCCATCCAAAAGGTGTGATCCACCCATTGTGGCATGTTGTCACTATACTTAAAGCAATAGCCATCCTAAAAATCTTGTAATGCCGCATTAGCTTATGTGGCTTAATCCTTCTAAACCTTGACTCGCATTTAAATAGAAGACAACACCTATAATCGTATATAAGTAATAATAATTCCCTGTTCCTTGATGGCATTTCTCGTTATCCTCTCCCATAATATATATTTCTATACATTGCAATTTCTTGTCGCCGCATCTTTATCTTTAAGTCATTGCTTTGTTTGCTTTATATCAATTATTCTTACATTATGTAAACACATTGCCTGTGAAAATGAAGAGGATATGTATAAAACCACAAACCAATCTTCATTAATTGGGTCCAAATTGTAGAAAATATGTTCTATAAGTGAAAAGATAGGTCATCTTTGATTCAGTCACTACTGTGCATTAAATCTCAAAAAGTTTAGAAGGGTAAGCCCAAATTTATCTTGCTTAATTCCTACTGTCCTGTCAACATGAACCCCATCACACTTAAATAACATCATATTAAATTTGCCAAAATAGTCCAATCCAAGGATATATGTTAACTTGCCATAATAATTTACACAACTTGCTTCAACTTCAAGTCTGATCTGCGAGCATCCCTTAT